TGTGCCGAAAGCGGCACATACTATTCGACTGCAGAAATGCGTGTTTCACGCGGATAAGACCGCCTACCTATCAGCTAATCGTACTCTGCGCCTTCGAATTTAACATATGAGGAAACAGTCCAAAATGAGTGAACATATCATTGTGTACTATAGTGGTAAAAAGCACGCATTACTTACCTGTTGCGGCTGACTCCATTGCGCAGCTCCTGTGCCAGCATTCACTGAAGGTATTGGCGTGGATACTGCTGATGTTGGCACATTTTGCAACCCTTGATGTGGCTGGTACTGTTGTGGGGTATACGTAGTTCCAGAAACTGGTGCTTGATGGTGTATTGACAGCGGTGTGTGCGTATGATATGTAGGCGGCTGTAGCGACTTCGTTGGAGTGAAATGGCTCTGTAGCGCCATGGGAGGGGCTTGATGCGCACTGCTTGGAGCAGGCTGAGAAGAAGGTTGCAGGTGTGGAGGAAGGCTCAGAGCAGGATTTTGCGCTGCTGCTTGAGCGGCGTAAGACGTTGGAGGCATCGAAGGCAGGTGGGAGTATTGCAGGTGATTAGGCGCTGGCGAAGGACGTCTGACCTCGTCGTGATGGTGATGAGGAAAATAAGCCGAGGAATCTGAAATCATGTATAAGTTCCTCGGGATCATTTTGTATAAGCTAAACTAAACTCACCAGGTATGCTACTTGGAGCAGGAGAAGGTGGTCCACCAGGGTAATGATCACCAGGGTGAACTTGTGGGTGATGAGGTGCGCCAGGAAACCCACCGATCGACGCAGGACTTGGCTGGGATGGTGCGTAGGGGCTTGGCTGAGATGGTGGGAAGGCAGCGGGTTGAACTGGCGGAACATATCCAGCCGATACAGCCGATGATGCAGCCATTTTGTTCAGGTAGAACTCTTTGTAGTCGCCGAAGCGAGCACGGCCGGCTAAAAACTGATAATATAAACGCAAACAAAGCTGGTTAGCACTATCGAATGTGATTTCTACCTGGCACTCCTGCTTGAGGTTGAGATCCTAACCCTGGAATGCCCCCAACGGAAAAGTCTGCAAGTGCTTCACGAGCTTCACTAGCTCGTTTTAGAGCAGCCATCTTTTCTTCTAGAGAGCGTTTTTCAGCTTCACGTCTTTGTCCGTTCAGCTCCAACTAAAGGAAAGATTAGAGTCGCGTTTTGGGCGAAATTTAGGCGCATATCGCATATCGATTAACTTACACGCTGTTTCGATACCTTCTACCGCAAGTGTTAGCTTATTGAGGCGATCCAGCAACTTCAGGTAAAAGCTGAAAGTAGGAATACCTCGAAACAAGGATACAATTTTCCATTATCTGAACAAATGAAAAGTATTGAAGCAATAAGCGTACTCCTGCTGAGTGCCGCCCTGCTTCTGAGCTCTGCTCCAAGCTAAGCCAGCGTGTTTCTTCACTTGAAAGGTTTCATCTTTCAACAGTACTCCTACTGCATGAAGAGCTCGACTAAGCTGCCTCTCTTCAGAAAAGGATGGGTGGGCTTTCCCACATAAATGCAGAACCATACAAGCGCGACAAAAATACAACCAATAAAAGTTGCATTTATGGCATGGCACAAAGAGCCGTACTACGGGTTGTGGCAGCGTTACTTCCCAAGTTGGGAGAAATAGGCGTTATGAGAAAGGTGACGTCACCAGCATTGCGCACCTAGAAGGACAAACACTCCATACCAAATATAGCAAGAGGGCAGCCGCGCTGCTCGACGACAGACTCACATCAGTTTCCATTTTCGATTCCCCTACTGGTGATGCTCGCGGTCGGTTATAGTAACGCGCGAACACATTAAGACCTTAAGCGGACCTACTCCATACACTTGGAAGTGCTCCAAGACGAGACACGCAGCATTGATGTCTAACTCTGAAAAAGCAGTCACAATTCTTCAAGAGTAGCATTCCGATCTCATCGCTGTTACTTTGAATGGGACTGATACATAAACATGCGGGGTCAACCAATGAAAAGACGATGTTACAACCCTCCTATGAATTGTTACTAGTTCGCAGACCTCGAAAAGATGGAATACTGGGCCGATTGCTCGGAGAGTCGTTCCCAGACTTACCTGAATACGCGTGTGGCGCTATTTGGCAGAACACCATCAACCCGACACGCTAACATGTTTACAATGGCGACTATAGAGCAAACCTTCACAATGGCATAGAAAAGAATGTGACCTATCCCTGGTTAACTTACTTTCTTCCATCCTCCACTTTCTGGCATATATCACCGTAAACATCGTACGCAGTTACTAATGTCATGATATGCTCGGAACGCCTGAAACAACAGTTTTGACGAATTACCTTGTACTCACAACATCATTAATGTCTGAGGGAACTGCAAAGCATAAAGAGACGGCAGGAGGCTGTGAAAAAACTCTCCGTAAAGATTCAATCCAGTGAAGCATGCGGTTCAGATCAACACCGGGTTGAGAACTCCACGTATTCAACAATGCTTGTAATGTCTTCTCTGTACGGGAAAAATGACCGAATTCGCTTCGGTGAGGGCAGAAAGTATTTTCTCCTGTGCATTCAAATTTGCGTCCAGATATTTCAGCGTTTCATCGTGCTTTTTCAACTCTGTCGAGAACATTTCCTATAACAAAATTCAGAGTCATTTTTCTGAAGTGAAACGTAGTCGCCAGAAGAACTCACGCGATAACTGCTTACTTGTTTAGCTTTCTCCACTAATAGTGATGATAATAGCACAAGTTAGGCTACGCAGTTGTGCAGCTGTGACACCGCAAAGAAAAGCGGATAGAATACAAACTCAATATCAGATTTTCATTCAATCTCCACCTTGTGATCCGTATCTCTTTCAGACAATAACTTCTTCGCAATGTTGTCATTATTCATCTCCTCTGTAAATCTCTGTAGTAGCTGAGCCCGCTGAGTTTGCATTTCACGGGTTTTGTCGAGCACACGTCGAAGTGCAGCACCCTCCCGTTGTTGCGAACCTCAAAGCACACAACTCGAACCGCTTGACATTTCTGGGGTGTAGTTCAGGAATATCTGGAGGTCATCCGGACTACAAAAGCATTTCTACCTGGTTTAGCTCGGATACAGGATTTAAAGACAACCTCTGCCACTAACACTGGAAAGATGCTTGCTACGTACGTGGCAGAATGGCTTGGCAGCGCGGTAGCCATCAACTATTCAACACTCAAAAGCACACGCAAACGGAAACTACGGGATGGTACCCAAGTTGTCTCCCTATAATTCTCCGCGCAATGGTGTAGCTTGCGTCGAAGCCGAGGTCGCGGCAACAAACGACGTACTACAGCTTAGAGATCAGGCAGTTAGTTAGAGGTTGTGATGAGGAAGCCACATTTTTCATGAGATACACGTGGCGACAGCCGACACCTGTTGCATTTTGAGGCTGGAAAAATTATTTTCATGACTACACGTGCGTGCAGTGCAAGTCCGGTGCATTTTTGAGCGGGGAAAAGTATTACGCTATTGCAGCTGCGGACCCATCCACGCACGGCAAGGGCCACGATCCACGAAGAGGAGTTTACAATTTGTCTTCAAGTGACAATTCAAACGCCTTATGACAACTGACCCTGCGACAGAGCCGTCAAGTAAAGCGCACTGATCGTATTCGCATGGCACAGTTGCAGGCACTTGTAGCAAAAATTTTGGCTGAGTCAACTAGCTAGGAGTACTAGTTAGTCTGCATGCAATAGCTTTCCTTAAAAGTTGAACTAAACCCTATAATTGGAGACCTACACGTGAAAATTCAGCGCGTATTAAACTGAGTCACGCCAAGTATATCACCAGAGAGCGCGCCGAATAAAGCCCAATATTTAAGAAACAATAATCCGAAGCATGAGAGACCGAAAACGCTTCGAAAGGGGCACTTCTACCGATATTCAGGTCGCTTGACAAAAAAATTGAAAACCTACCAGCATTAATAGCCGGTCCAGCAAGCTTGGATGTCAGCTCAGCTATTGGGAGGCTGAGCAGATGAAGATTCGTCGAGTGTGCAGCCAAAGCTTTGTGTAATTCGACGTTATTTGATCTAAAAGGAGTAGAAATTTTGAAGCAGACAACCAATGGTTTCAGTTGGTGGAAATAGATTGCAGAGAAGATGATGAGGCAGGTGAATTTCAGCGAGGAACTTACCACAAACCACGTAACGACAATCGGATTACATGCCAGAATGGGGGATAGAAAATCTAATTTAGTGAGAACCGACCTCGCTTTCTGATGATGTTCTGTAAGCCTCTCCAACTCCTTCTTGATCGCCTTGTATCCTTCATCTGACGTCTGAAGAAATGCTGTTAACAGGACGGAAAAACAACATTATTCTCAAAGTAACTCGCGCTGCAGTTTCTCAGCAACATAAACTTCAAACAGAAAGCGCTCACAATCTCAGGGAGGTCCACTTCCGCTAACCGCCCTGTCAAACCACCCAGTTTTGTACCGGCTTCTCGAGCGAGATCACCAACTTCTGAAATACTACGTTATTCGACTAATTCCTCATCCGATCTTCATTTAACACTAACTTGTCAGCGACTCAAGCAGTTTGGGAATAGCGTCTGGTTGAGCGGTAAGTGCAGCATTTCTCTCAAGCAACATATCTGGTAGTATGGGTCCCGTTGAATCCGCGTCCAAGTCGATTTCGTCGATTCGCAGAGACACCAAGAATGAACTGAAACAAGCACAGATTCATTTTAAACGAAGATGGGGCGATTAAGGCTTTAAGAAACGTATTGATGTAATTGATTGCCTCTAGATTCATCGGAAATTGCGGTTCTCTTAATTCTATTCATATGTTCTTTGACATGTCCACAGGATAAATAAATAAAGAGCCAGAACTCACTTCAGCTCTTCATCTCGTCGGTCTACTCGTTCCATGATTTCACGCTTGAGTTTCGCCTTCTCTTCTTCGTATTCAGATACCGCCTTGATGACGCCCGGAGGTAAAAGGCCGCCGAACAAATCCTCCCCACCTACAGAAATGTCGAGTGGATCAAATGACAACGGTCGTACTTTGCAGAGTCCCTAGAAAACAGCTAGTCAACCGAAAATTGTGAAAAATAAACCAATGCTTACTTCCAGATCTTTACATAGCTCTTCGTTTCCTGGAACACGTTCGTGGTAAATAAATTCATTCTCTTTCTTGGCATTTCCTAGCCTGAAACGTCTAAGAGTTATGAACGTCTAAGAGTTGAAAAAAAGAAAAACAATAATGAGTGAAATCCTACTTTGTTCCCACTACATCAGAAAGAAACGATATGGATGCTTTCATCGTATCCCGATCTTCCTTCTCTGCAGCTTTGAGGACAGCAGTTAGATGATCATTTGCAATCTTGTAGTATCCATATCTACAAAGGAAATTTTGAATTTACTCAACGCTTTGGTCTCCGGACCAGCATTAGACAAACGCTAACCTCGCTCCCATTCTTTTGTCGTCATCAGCTTGACAACCCAAGTGGATCATTGCGATACAACCATATATCTCGCTTTTTAACGCGCACGTCCTTGCCCACAGCTCAAATAAAGCAATTGGCTCAGGTAAGTGAGAAATTGATCGAATTTCAAAATTGGGCCCAAAAATAATCGAAAAAAGTTTTCTAGCCCCTTTCGATATTCAACCTTCATCCTCTAGGAAATGGCTCAGATGCCTGAGAAGTTTCCTATAAGGCTAGATGCTTCAAAAAATGGAAATACATAGGAGAAGATCTTATGAGCAAAATAGGCGACTAAGAACTTCATAGCCTCGCAGGCTCAAATTTTCGACAGTTTCAGCAAAAAAAAGCCTCAAAACCTTTTCTCATTCACCTTCTTGTGCCACTAAACTTCAGCTTCTGCTCATTCAAAATTTAAAGACACGAAAGAGTGAACATACATCAATCACAATTAAAAAGGGTATCAATAATGAAAACGAATTCCAGAATGAAAGAAGTTTCGATTAGTTCCCCACTAGCCCTAAATGAAAAGAGGCTTACGATTCACGACGTGGGCAGAGTTCAGCGACAGGGGGAGGGCATTCTGCACCTTCGCTGCTTCAATGGTTCCAGTTCACAGGTTTAACTCTGGTGAAACCCGTCAAACCTTGTAAGCTATTGAAGTAGCTAATCAAATGAATTTCGTAACGTATTCACAAGAGTTTACAGGTTATCGCCACAAACTTTGGCTGATGTCACTCAGTGGCTTAACAAGATTTCACAAGGGAAATACCGAAATTCCACAGAGGAAAAACCAAAAAAAACCCTCTACCCCCCCCCCCCCCCCCCTCACCGAAGTGCGGCTACGACATGAATCGTTATGCTCACAAAGCAAGAACTATCGGCATTACTGAGAGATCCACGAGGAATGAGGAAAATGAGGATGAGGAAAAGAGAGGAATGTGGCAAACACACTGGGCTGCGTACTGTGACCCAACAAGAGAAAAAAAATGAAAAGAAATCGTCAACACGTCTCCCAGCGTTAATATGAGCCATCACCAGCACGCATTATAAAGTCATCTTGGCTACTCTCGAGGCCAAAAGAGCTTAACAAAAAGTAACTACTGTAAATCAACTGCAGATTTACCTTGTACTTTTGTGATGAGACATAATCACAGAGATTCGAGTTTTCAAGGTGTCGAAAACACTCCTGATATCTATCGCGTAAATGAATCGCCAGTTTAGCGACGACCAAGTTGCTACGATGATCAATGAGACTTTTTTCTAGTAGACATTCTTGAGCTTGGCCCTAAATAAGAGGCCTGTTCGAAGCGAAACGCAAAAATCACCAAGATCACCACTTTCTACAACACTAGGAGAGAAGAAGGAAATGTATAAGCAGAGGAAAGATTGTAAACCTACCAAGAGTACATTGACAAAAAAGGTTAGTAATTCCTTGTCGAAATCTACAGATGCATATTTTGAAGCATTCAATTTATCGCGAAGGTGTTGAAGGGGCCACGCGGCATACTGGTAATGCATGAAGGCGTTTTTGATACTCTGAAAACAGATTCACAGACCAGTTTCACAGTACGTTCGCATTGAAAAGAACCACAAGAAGTACAACACCGAAGTAGAAGTAGAAGTACATCTAAAAGAATGAATATCAGATTAGGAATTGAATGTTAAGAAGCTTCTGGTGGCTCATGTGCTGGCAACATCACGGCATTTGAAGGTTCTGAGCAAATGTAGGAATAACGCCGTACAAATAGAAGTAGCGTCCTAATATTAGTCCAACAACCCCAGAGCTCCTCCCCTCTTATGCGCTAATTTTCATCCGTAAATGTTTTCATTTCGTCTCTGTAATTCCAGTTTTGCACAAAAGAATCTCGAATTTCTCCCTATTACGTTATTAGCAGCGTGACTCGTTCCTCCACTATTCAGATGAACAACCGCTGTTCGTCAACCGAAGCGAAAGAGTTAATCTAAGATGGGATTTGAGCCCGCACCACTTCGTGCTAACCGGCCCACTACACCTTTGAGGCAATCCTTCACCGCCAGCTCAACGCTTTTACGCTCTAGTCTTCCAGCACTCACATGTTTGAAGCGATGGCGACTATGTTTCCAACAAACAGAATCAAATAAAAATCGTTTAAAAATAGTCAGAATACACAGTTTTGTAGACAATAGTTGGGTCAGGGACAGTTAAGAATGACTCACGTCCTCGCTCTCTCTTCCCTCATTTACTGCTATGTTAGCATGAACTGCGCCAATGTTGTACATTACGCACGCTAATTCGAAGCCAATATCATCGTACGTCGCGGAATGAGCTATATCCATGGCTCTATCGTACCTAAATACAGTTACAAATCTGACCTGCCGTTTTCAAAACCATGAAAATGGATTGAATGTGTATTTTATCGTTAGAATTTAGAGGAACTCTTGAACAGTGGCGTGGACATGATTTCTCAGACACACACACAATCAAAGGTTAAACTCAAAGGAATCAGTAAAATACGTAATATTAATGTATGGAAAATTGCGTTGTCTCTAAGGACTCATGCCACTTCTCTGCATTGTTCCAATTTTAGTATATGTTCAGTAATGATCTGTCACTAAGGACTCACCAGCAAAATAAAACCTTTATTGGATCGCCTTCTTCCATAGGGAATCGATTCTTCATCATTAGTAATTGGGCATAGTAACGCTTCAGTAGACAAGCAGTTTCTACATCGGCGTAGGATGTGCTTATTTTCTGAAATCCTGGGCATGAATGATTGCAGAAAACCCACTAAAATTGCTTAGTTAGGCAACGAAGGACGAATTGTTGAATGGCTATGTTTGCCCAGATCGGCCTTGTCAACAAAAAACTGTACTAAGCTATACCTGCTTCAGAGTCATTATTTCCGTTATAGCGTTATCATATTTGCTGGGATCGTCTTGAAAATGTAGAAGGATATACTGCAAATTATGAAATTATTAACGAACAGGAACACTGATTGTTACCATGTACAGCTACTAGAAGACCATCTATGTGCGCTGCACCCAGGTAAGTGGTAACGGTTGGTATTGTAGTCGCAGATGTGCATCAACGCACAAACCCAATGGTCGTACCAGGGGCAGGGTTTGGCGCAGTCTCAGCCAGTTCCCGCCGTTTCTGGTCGCCTGCCAGCTTCCAGAAGCCCCTTAAAACGCCCCAACATCAAGACTGTAGTTCACCCTAACCAGGTGGCAAAACCTCAACGCGGCGAATCGCGACAAAGGATATGTGTATCAAGAAATTTGCGATTTTGAAAAATCGCGCGGTTGTGGAGAATCGGCGACAAAAAGTTTGAGAAAAATCAACTGAGTTCGCCTACTAGACGACTGCATAATTGTTTTTTGTCGAGTATCTAAAAGGCTAGGTGACGACTTATCGATTCCCATCTAAGTTGTCGCCCGCTCTTTTTCCTGAATGGCAATTGCCCACATTTGAAAAGCAGAAACGTGGCCTAAATGGATGAATGGGTCGCGTAAACCTCATCAAGGCTAGTACTGATTTGTGGAAAACTGCAGGGAAGGATTGCGGATCGAAACGATAGGACTACAGTTTCTCAACCTGTTTCTAGCCTGAGTGATGAGAAGTCTTAGAGCGCGTTCATACTTCGCGATCTAATCGCTCGAGCGGTTCGATTGCGCGATCCAAGCGATTGGAACGCGAATTATGAACGCAAGAGCGCGAGAACGCCAACTAACATACCTCCTTGATCTTCAATCG